TGTGTGTGACTGCGCAGGAGGCAGAAAGGGCGATCCAGTGTTTAAATGGAAAGCTAGCTTTGTCCAAGAAGCTGGTGGTGCGTTGGGCGCACGCACAGGTGAGGGTAAGTGTCAAACTGTGATTCATTTTTATAAAAGTAAAAATCTTATGCATCCTAATTGCTCAGTGGACACTGGTTGTGGCTGCAGTTTGTGGTCTCCTGCAAAGGTTGACAGACTAAATATCTGTGCATTACACAAATGTAATCATTTCAGAGATTAAAAAAGTTAAGGAGCTGGTGTCCCTGCTGCCACAGACAAGGCCAGCAAGATTACTTAATTAATAATAATAATAAAGATGATTGAAGTGAAATGATGAAAATTGTGGTTTGCGGTAAAAGATTATCAGCATCAGTTGATTTTCCTTTTATCATTACTACTTCAGTTTACAGAACAGTGGGATCCCAGCAGAACCTATGCCTGTCTCTTAACAATAGACAGCCTACTGGCAATGGGTGAAGGGATATCCTGTATAGAGACGAATCACGCCCTACACACACACACACAAACGCATAGTAGAGGGAGGTCAAGGTCAATGCTGCCGCCTCTAAGACAACACGTTGTTGGATAAATCTCCTCACAGGTTCATTGTAACGGGGCTCAATCCACCATTCCAACCAGAAATAGCTTTTGTTATTTTAGTTATTCCATTATACGGCTAAATTCGTAGCTGTTTATATCTTAAATCTTGAATTAACACCACACCTGTGTCATTGGGCCAATAACTTTAAACTACTTCACGCACAGTGTCTGTCAACACCTTCTGCATACACTTACAAGAGTCCTCTGTTAATTTCTACAATGAAAAGAGTTTTTTTCTAAAGCAATACTGCACTACAGTGGTGTTCATCTGGATTTTATTAGCGAGCAGGTCATCAGCCAGAATTTCTTTTCCCGAGAAAAATAGTTTTGCTGCATCCCTGAGCTGATGTCTCTTTCAAACATTCGTTTGATGTCTCTAACGTGTTTTACCTACACGTTCAGGTCTATATTAAACTGTATTTTAATATCTTCCTGCCTCTGCAAGTACGTGACATACTGGAAGTAGGCCACCATGCATGAAAGTTTACGCACGTGGCAGCCGATCAACAACTCAAAGAAAGTGTCTCGCTGTGTGCTGGCGTGTTTTCTGGCCGCTGAGTGAGGAAGCGAAGTGAGTGGCAGGAAACATTGGATTGGATATTTAGTTTTGTTTTACCCCACTACATGGATCTCAAGTCGGTCAGAGGGTGAACGTCACTGCTGCAGTTTGGGTTGAGTTTTTATCTTATAGCTGTTCTTTTCCTCTCAGCTTGCTGTCAAACTGCTCACTGTGTCCCAGCTGATAAAGATGGATTTTGAAATTCATAATTTCATCCCATGACATGCTTTAACAAGCTAGAGATGAATATGTCAGTCAAAATTATTATCATATTGTGCAACACAGCCTGCTTTGGGATATTAACTCCTGTGTGTTTTGCTCCTATTGCTGAGTAGCAGGAGGAGAAAAGCTTAGAGGTTAATGAATGATTGTCACCATATATTCCGAAACCTTTCCTGTAGAAAAGGGTGCCACTTCACCAAGATCAAGACGAAGATTTTTATCACAATTGTGAACTAGATTCTAACCTTGTCAAAACACCACGAGAGAATCCATCTTGCCAGGCTTAAATCTGTGCGTTACTGGCCAGTACAGTGTTGGAACCAGTCAGCGTCCTATACAGAGAGTACTAGCAGCTACGGCATAAGATACCGGGCGTGGTTTAATGCTAGGCGTGTGTGACGATGGGATCCGGACACACCACACACAAAACACACACACAACTTGCCCCAAAACAACAATGGCGGCTGCTAAAGAGGTTAGTGTAGATGCTGCTATCAGCGGTTCTATCAGAACTGGAGAGTATTTTTTTTTCATTGAAAGAAGAGCAGAGAATAGGACCGATGGCTTTTCTCAATGGAAAAAATGTTTTTGCCCTTCTCTCGACTGACTGTGGAAAGATTTGGACTCCATTATGGTTCGTTAATATGATTGGTTGAAGTTCCCTCATGATAGACGGTGATAGATAGTTCATCTAATTGCCTGCCAAGTATTTTTATATGTGCAGTCAGGTTAAAAGGCATTCCCCTGTGCATGGTAGCAATCTCTGGTCATTTTCTAAGCAATTGATAAGTCCTGGTAAATTCCAAGGGTTACGCTTCTGTTTGACCACTGAAATGATAGTGTGTTCGGTCAAAAGAATACCTCCAATACACTGAAGCTGGTACTACCTGTTATTATTATACAAGCGAGATATGAGCAATTTTCCACCAACCTCAGAGCCAGCTGAATGTGATGTTTTTTTTAGCGAGCCTGTCTTTGCCGGTTCCAACCCAGAAGTGACGTGCTGGGATAAGTGAGTCACAGACCGTCGGTGTTGAAGCTGTTGTCTCATTTCCAGGCTTACATCTTGACTTTATTACATAGCTTTGAAAGAGAGGAAATCACTTTGATGAACGTTTATTGAAAGGTTTCCCTCAAACTCTTCACAAACATCCATGGCTTTCCAAATGGACCTTTTCAACTGTTAAACAATTGTGTCTTAATTCATTACTGTATAATTCTGTATTTATACCAATACACAGTTAAGCCAAGTTGTATGTTATGCATGTTACATTCTTTGTATGTGAAATTTTTATCATGACTGGAATACTCCTATGAATATATCCATAATTTAGCCCAAAATCGTCTGAACTATAACACTTGTTTCATCCTTATTAAGCTCTTACTGCTATGCTTTTTCTAGGGCTGCCTTTACTCCTGTATAATAATAAGATAATTAAAATCGAGAGGTTTAACTAAACAACTAGACAACATTTCAGCTTAACTTTCCCATAAGTTAAGCTTTGGATTGTATAAGACTCAGTATGGCCTGATTGGCTCTACGTGCAGTAGATCTATATACATTCCAGCTACACAGCTTTAGGAATAGGTGGAAGGGAAGGGTTCTGGCTGTTGGAATGGTCATTGTTTTGGACCTATTCTTGGCTATACATGTTATTTATTTCTTGGGCCAGTATGTAAGAATGTGTGTGTGCTTTTGTTCATTTGTGTAACTTGATTCAGTGCCATTTACAAGCATCATATTCCCGCTGTCGCACCAAGCGCCGGGGTTCCTCATGCCCATCATGTACGTGACTGTTGTTTTTTTGTTTTTGTCTTTTTTTTTTTCTCCACAGGTTTCAAGAGTTCTGTGTTGGGCTGGTGGAGATGTTTGGAAGGTGGTTTTGAAAGGAATGAGTGCAGACGTTGGTTGTTGCTCCCCAGCTGCTCCCTCTTTATCCTCCCTCATGCCTTAGGGTGTGATTGTGAGCTGGATACGCAGACCTGCTCGGTTACTGTCTATTTGACCAAACACAAACAAAATCAATACATCAGTTTAATATTGCTGTTTGTGGGAGGAAGTTGGAGTTTGCTCTTCAGAGAACTGCTGTCAGTGTTTATTAGGAGGTCTAATGATTTCAAAATGTCTGGTTGATGGGGGTTTTTTTTCTTATTCTCTGTCTTTTTTTCTCTTCCTGTACTTGTTATGTGGTCAGAACTGAAACTTGGCACTAAAATGTTTCTAAATGCAGGTGTGATTGTATCCAAAATGCACAGAGAACACGTTACAGTCCGATTCCTTTAACAGTATTGTCTTGACACAATCCCTGTTTTAGAGAAACACAAGTGATACACTATGCTAATTCTTTTGTGAGTAGCAAGAAAGGAAATTCCAACCTCATTGGTCACCAGACAGATTTTAGATGCAATTTGATTCTGGCAGAGAGCTGTAATCTCTAGTTTCGGCATCTTTACACATATTTCGACATTAGGTTATTTATCTTTATTATCTTTATCCCATTGACTGTCTGTTTCTCTTTATCTTATGTATTCTGTAACTACCCATGTGTCTCTTCCCTGTACAAGGGTCTTTTCTTGCTACTACCTGTTATTTTACCCCTTTGTCTCTCTCCATCTGTCTGTCCATCCATGTTTCCATCACTGTTTGTGTGGGTTATTTTTTGTTTCGACCACGTGTCTCGTCTGCAGAGGTTTGAAGGTTTCCGTAACGACAAGACGATGCCTCCGAGCCTGGAACCGTCGTGCAGTGGCGCGACAGACGAAGGACCCGTAACTGCCAACCACCTCAGGTTGGTTATTTTTGTAAAGCATGCCCACTATAGCCAGCTAAATCTAAATCTTGCCATTGGTTTTCTTGAAAGCAGTAACCTGAATGGATAAAGCGGCCTCTGGTTTTAGTGTGGATGTGGAAAACTGAACTTTTGGAAAACAAATATGTAAGCCTGCTCAGACAAAGTACACAACACAGAAGTTGTAAAGTTTTCCATATACTACACTATGGTCAAACACTCTTAAACCCCCTCGGACACTTTTCCGGTGTTAAAACTGGGATTCTCTGTGTCCAACAATTTGTGTAACTTTCCGAATCCAATATCTCAACATTCACGCCCATGGAGGTAAGAATGTAAGCAGGGTTTTAACTTCTTTCTCAAGCTCTTTCTTTCTCTTTCTTAACTACTTTTGTCACTTTTTTTGTGTGTACTATGAATGCCATTAAGGAAAGTGAGCACTGTCTACGTTATATTAATAATAATTATTGCGAAGAGCGGCCTTTCACCCCATCTTTTAGTGTGGCCTTTCAGAACAGCTATAAACACCACTTTTACCATCACCTCTGATGAACTTTTTGAACATACTGACACTTTTTAACTAATGTGTATCGGTTTATTTTGCCAGATGACCGCTTTGTGATCATAAAAAAATGATAAGCAGTGGCAGATCTTTCAAAAAAAATAGTGTGGAGTGTGGACTCAGTGTTTTGTTGCACTGAAATTGTGTTTTCAGATTTAGCCGGTTTAGTAGTCTCCTGTCACGTTAGGCTCTTTTCAGGTGCAACCTAACAAACCCTCCATTTAACTCCTGTGAAGTTATTACAGGAGAACTTGTGAGCTTGTTCCTTTCACCACAAACCACAGTTCAAGTCGAGTTCATCTGACTACAACTGGACTAACACATGGGTTAAAAAAACGTCTGTGTGGGAGTGTTGAAGTTCTAATATCTTCCATTATTGTGGCTACAATACACACACACACACACACACACACGCACACACAGTAAGTACGGCAGTCAAATGGAGCGCTGTTAAGTCAGTAAAAGGCATCTTGTGCTCGCAGTATCAACTCATAGCGAGGCAATCTAGCAGCTATCAGGATTCAAAAAAGATTCCACACTTTGGTTCTAGTGTAAACTTCAAAATCACTCTCTGCGCAGCACAAGAGAGGAAATATAAACACTCTTCC